CTTTAATTACTGAGCTTATTTTTACAGATACATTTGGAAGTTTGTTAGCATCTGATTCCAAGTTTTGCAGTTATCTCTCTATGTCTATGTTTTTTTTTTTGAGTCAGTTAAGTTTTCTATATTATTTTATATTACTTTTGCTGGTCCAGAGGATCAACATTCTACATATATTCTACGGTAGTTACCATTAAATTTTAACAAAATGTAATCTCAATTACCTCTCTACTATTAAATAATACAAGACCCTGGGATGGTGTAGCACATCAGCATCCTACCTCGTGTTGCCTTATGTATTGTTGTCAAGTATTTTGGTTCTACTATGATTTTCACCTGCAAGTTAGTCATCATCAGTAGTTTTGTGCTTTATTCAGATGACCTATTTGAAATTACTCACATGTGTACCACCTTCTTTGCATATATGTCCTTTAGAAAAAAATTTTTCTTTGTGAAATAAATTATTTGATAAATCATTTATTAAAGTTTTCTAGAAGGAAGACTTCTATGTTTTTAAAAAATTTTTTTCAGAGAGTAGATTTACCTCACCCTATTCTTTAATGGTAGTTTAGCTGGGAATATAGTTTTAGGATGATAACTAAAACTCTAGCTGGGAGCTATTTTACTATCTTGGACAACCACTGCTACTGTCAAAAATTCTGTTTTCAGTCTATTAAATGGAAATTAAACATACACGTATTGCAAGATAAGGTAAATATTTATTGAGATCATTTTAAATTTGAGTTAGTATTACATTAATATTGAGTTAAGTTGAGTAATACATTAATATTAAATTAATATCATTTCTGGGCATGTGAAGATGACCTTGATACTATCCTTACTATTGAGATATTCCTGCGATAAAGTATAATGAAGATAAATCTACAAACATATAGTTTGTACAATTGGCAAACATTATGATTGAGGTTTGTGCATTGTATTCAGGTAGAATTTAGAAGCATACATTTGGTGAGTAGAAAGAGTCAGATAATATTGGCTGGAAAAGAAATAGGAGAGAGAAAACTATATGAGCAACGCCATGGGTATCCTTATGGAACTATAATGTGTTTTTCGTAACTTGAAAATAACATAAAAAGTACTAGGTGTCTGACATAAAGCTTGTGAAATATCCAGGAGCCAAGTTATGGAGAGAAAAATGCTAAAGGCCTTACTGAAGAAGGTACACATCTGGGAAATATTTAGCTCATAAAATTGTTCGACTTTATAGTTGATTGGGTGGCAACTGATGGAGATAGAAAAATCTGCAATCAATTCCAAGGTACTTGGTCAGTTGATAAGAGCTGCACTCTAGTTATACCCCTTAAAGGCAGGGGGTATATCTCCTGGTTTACCCTTCAGGAGCACAGCACCTTGAAGATAGTTGATGTTCAAAAATGTTCATTGAACATTTGTACCATGAAAGGAGTTTGTAAACTACATTTCCCCCCCTGGAATACTGGTGCTGTTTATTTGGTAGTTGAATATCAGCATAAAAATTACAACTGTGGAAATAACATTAAAAAGATTATTTACTTGATGCATCTGGAGGGATTGAGCAGTGAAAAATATATATGGACCCTTATGAATACAATATCCAAAGACTACATAAACATAGGACTAAATTTATGATCATGAAACTAAGAAATAATGACCAACATCCTGACCACAGAGAATTTTGTTCCCATAAAACTTGCAACTTAACATTCTGGAACATTTCCTAATAAAGAATACTTGATGACTCATGGCAGATGTTTATTATCTAACAAGAAATGAAAATTGAATGGCTACATGGACAAAAATTACAGTAAATCCTAAGAAATAACCCCCCAAATGGGTGCAAGGTAACAAAGTCATTGTATGGAGAGTGAGATTTCACTTATGATAGGTGGTTTAGATGTTGAAAAGACTGAAGGTGAAAGATAAATTTTGTTTGCAGGTGAATAACGGTCTCTAAGTATTTCAGTGAAAGGAGTGAGAGAGTGTTGAGTAGGGTGTGCTAATTTATTCAACAAATATTTAGAATTGTTTATGTTCTTATTTTCTAGGCTTCACATAAGGGCTTTTGGATGTGAGATTAAATACTAGAAATATGAAGGAAATCACAAGGAGTAGTAAGTGGAACAATGCATAAGGAAAAAAGAGAATGTAGAGTTGGGTAAGAGGGGGATATTTTGGGTATCAACCATAGAACACTTCCAGCTCTGATGGACTAACTTATATCAGTGCAGTCCTGCGCTAGTGATGTCTTAATGTGCTGAGAGGACAATGTAGGCACATAACAGCTATTAGAAGGTATTTAAAATAGCTAAGGCAACAAGAAATGGAATGTGCACGATTTCAAAAAGAAAGTTACACAGAGGTGAGCTTGGCTCCCCCCTCCCCACCTGCCCCCGACATTTTCCTTCAGACTTTTAGCAATTCTTAGGTTTCAGCTGAGAGGTTAAGAAAATGAGCAGAGTTCTCAGTAGCCTCGCACTGCTACCAAGGCAAATTTGGAATTAAAGGTCCCCCAAGAAGGAGGGAAACTAATAAACTCCTCAGGATGAGTTGAAATCTATGAAAGACAGCACTTTATAAATATAGGCAAACACTAAATACTCAAGCCTTTACAGATTGAAAACTAGTTTCTGATCAGCTCAGTCCCCAATTATATTAAGGTGATCTACCTTGAGATTAACTGCCTGCCAGAAGAAAAGGTACATTTTGGTAGAAATACACAGTGAAAAACCATACAGAAAAGAAAGTGTATCATATGCTACATGCAGAGTCATGGATAAATATCACCTACATACTTTTTAAAAAGAAAGGTCTTATACTTCTACTGAAATACATTCCCAAACTGGCAAAACTCAGCTATAATTTTAGATATCATATAGTGGTTTGGGGAGGAAGGAGGGAATATAATGACTGCAAGGAGATATGACTGACACTTCCAGAGCACTGTTAATGTTACATTTTTCTTGATGGATGTGGTCAGTACATGGGATATATGCCTTGTGAAAACTCGTTAAGCTGTACAATTGTAAATTTTGTATACTTCTCTAAATATGTATATGTATAATAACCTTAATTAAAATTTTAAAAAGTTGTTACATATGTATATGTATCTATGTATCTATGCACACATAAACATACATATTTGTCTTAA